TATGATGCTGCTTGGCCTGCTGTGTTCATCCAGCTCTACACCTTGTTATCTCAGATTCTCCAGCATCTGCAGTTCCTACTATCTCTGACATAATTGCACTTATTCTTTTTTAAGATGCCATTGCAGTACAATATTTACAGGTACATTACAAATCTAACATGAAGTTGTATTGTTTCAATAAAAGCTAAACAACTGGGTAATTTTCTTCTAGAAAATGCAGCATCTTGTGTTGAAGAGTTAAGACTTCATAAAGAAATGAGGGGGAGAAAATTATACAATTTTATCATGCAGAATACTTTTTTTCTACAGAGTTGATTTAGGAATGAGTCTTTCCTTCCAAAAAGTGAATTTGCACCAATTTTAAAAAGTCTACAAGATTGCGTACCGCTCAACATTAATGAGTCAGACATCATGGAGGTGTGTGGAACATCTGGTGATTTTAAGCAATTAGCTCTTTATCTCAGATGGATACATATTCCTTCCATTGTGGCGAGGTCAATGTTATTAAAGTTTTTCAACAGATTGCAGATGACATAACTGCTAGTATGTTTAGTGGGCTTGAAGGGTAGATGCTGAATGGTTGTTTTCCCTTTAAGTGTCAAGGATCAGAGGACAGAGAATCTGTGGAAGACTAAGTGTTAAGTATATTCAAGTCTGAAACAGGTGTTATTTTTTAAAATCAGCAAGGGTTTTGGTCATGTGAATAAGGCAGGAAAGTGAAGTTGAGGATCATCAGCCATCATCTTATTGAATGGGAGCAGGCTCAATAGGTCAAATAGTCTAACTATTGTCTTACAAAGTGTCAGGGAAATCTTCAATTGTGCAAGTGTGTCTTGACACTATCATTCTTGGGTTCAACATTACAGAAGAACCATATGCTTGGGAGTGAATGAGATTTGGTGGGAGAAAGGAATTGCAGCAGTCCTTGGTTTGAAACAGGATGCCAAATCAAAGGTCATCAGTTTACGTGTAGCAAAAATCCATACTGAAAGATAATGCCAGAAGTTAATGCAGTCAGATTATAGAGGAGCATTTGCTTTATTTAGTTTTCTAATTTGCAGAGATTCAGCAAATCTGAGTTCGTAAACATTTATATACTCTCTCCAAACAAAGCAGATTGACACTTGTAGCTGTTCTTGTTTCACTATTTGAAGAATTCGAGAACATGCAAAATACAACTCTATTAAGTTTAGATTACCAAGTACTATTATTACACTGATGCTCTTGAATCTTTAGATATCAGACTGTTTAACTCAAGTTACTCAGAACATTTATAAGACTAATGGCACTATGAAGAGATTGGTTCAAAACCTGCAACACTACTTACATACACAACAGTGCCCCATTCTAATTGACCATTTGAAATTATTTCAACTAAAATACCTCACAGAGCTGTCGAATGCATTGTTGGACAAAAGCCTTATCATGGAGTGGTCGAGGATCTTTTATCTTCTCTGTGCCTCCACACGTTCCATATATATTTGTAGAAAAGGTTCCAATGCTACTTGTCCTATAATTTAAAAAATAAATTTAGGGCACACATTTTCAAAGCAAATTGCTCAAAGTCAAATAGGAGAGGAAAAAGAGAGCTCACACAATAATGACCAAGAGACACAGGATAACTCCCTGCTCTGATAAAATAAATGCAATGAACCATGAACATTCATAATTTAAATCAATAATTTAGATGTATGACTAAATATAATAAACCAAAGTTGACTGGTACAAGGAGGTTGCAAAGCGCCATGTTTCAATTATGTGATTGGGCAAGATGGTAGATACGTTGGGAAGTGCAAAATATCCATTTTGAAGGAACGATGGAAAAGCAGATTTTTTTAAAAAGGTACAGTACGACTGAACTTTGGTTTTCAGTTTGAGCTCCTTTATGAACAAATCAGTTAAATTTAGGTTAAGTAAGCAATTAAGAACACAAGAACTCTGAGGAGGCAATTCAGCTGCTTCAGCCTGATCTGCCGTTTCATAAATCATGGCTCATCTAATCTCTGTCTCAACGTCACTTTCGTGCCCTGCACTCCATAATCCTTCAAGCCCTTACTAATTAAAATTTGTTCATCTCCTCCTTTTTAAAGTTAATGTCCCAGCATCCACCACATTCTTTATTTTTCCTTTATTCATTCAAGGGATGAGGGCATTGCTGGCTAGGCAGCATTTATTGCCCATCCCTAATTGCCCAGAGGGCAGTTAACAGTCAATCACATTGCTGCGGGTCTGGAGTCACATGTAGGCCAGACCAGTAAAGATGGCAGTTTGCTTCCCTAAAGGACATTAGCGAACCAGATGGGTTTTTCTACAATCAACAATGGGTTCATGGTCATCATTAGATTCTTATTTTCAGATATTTATTGAATTTAAATTCCATCATCTGCTGTGGCGAGATTCGAACCTGGGTCCCCAGAAAATTATCTGGGTCTCCGAATTAACAATCCAGCGATAATATCACTTGGCCATTGCCTTCCCTGGGGTAGTGGCTTCCACAGATTCATGATCCTTTGACAGAAATAATTTCTCATCTGTTTTAAATCTGCTACCCCTTGTCCTAAATTCTAGGTTGCCCACGACAGGGAAGATCAAATGTCTACTTTGACAACCCCTTTAGCATCACATACCTTATGAGATATTCTCGCATTCTTCTAAACTCTAGAAAGTATAGACCTAAGCTGCTCAAACTTCATTATATCAACCTTCATTACAGGCAGTTAAAGCGCAATATTAGTAAAATGGGGTTTTGATGAGACCTCACACTGAACATGGTATGTAATTTATGTTTCTTTACCTGGGGAGGATAGACTCAGACAGGGCAAAGAATATTCTCTAGATTGATTTCTGGAATGAGGGAGCTGTCTTATCAGGAGAAAAATGGGCCAATATTCTTTCAAGTTTACAAGCTGTAATCTCACTGCATTGAGTAAAATTGAGTAAAAAGTTATTTAACAAACAATTGACTGGAGATATCCACTGGTTCCTAAACTAAAGTATAAAAAGGTCAGTTGAGAATAAAGGCCAGACAGCTGAGGAGGCTGAATATAAGATGGTTACCGGATGCCTCAGTCAGCTGTAGACATGTTAGAGAGGTTACAAAAATCAAACTGTTCTGCCTCACTATTGATCTGTCTGTTCCAGGCCTAGTAAACTCTCCACACTTTTTCATTCTTATTGCTGATGCAAGCAGCATTAACTAGGCCAGCATTTATTGCACATTCCTAATTAGTGTTGAGCCACCTTCATGAATTGCTGCCATCCAGATGTTGTTAGAAAGTTTGTAAGCATAAATTGATTTTTAGTTGTTTCAAGCACTCAAGATGAGAAAATTTCCTTGAGAGGTTAAAGGGATAATTAAAGTTTTGAGAGGAAAAACAAGTATATTTGGGTGGTGCCTTGTATTGGATAGTGAAGTTGCTCTAGAGCTCACATCAAATGATATAGAATAGTCATAAATGGAGTATGTAAAAATTTTAAATGTGAGGAAATAATTGAGGATATAGGATAAAAACTGCAAATTTGCAATAAATTTAATGACATCATTTTCTCTAATAGGCCCTACCTTATTCAAAGCTACGGGAAGAATTCCACCATTAGACCAACAAAACTATTCATTGTCTACAATATGCCACAGCTTTTTCAACATCCAATCTTCCATAACCACCATATTCTCTTGTCAAACAATGAAAAAAAAATGAAAAAAATCAAAGACATTTTCCGTGGAACATGGCCTTTTCCGTTCCCATCTCTAACCACCTCCATAAGTACATAAACCCTGCTCCACAGATGTTGACCTCTAGTCCCTCTTTCTCTGTACAACCTTCAACCCTAAGCTCTGGAATATTTGTCTCTAAATATCATTACGCTCTCCACAATTCAAACCTTTCTTAAAAATCCACCTCTGATCAAACTTTTAGACAGTCGCTTTAATGTTAACGTTTTAGCTTAGCTCTGGGACTACCATGGATATTAGCAGTTCAAGAAGTCATCTCACCACCATCTTCTCAAAGGCAACTAGGAATGGGCCAACCAGCGATGCCCACCTCCCTCAAATGACTTAAAAAAAATACATTTTACAATTCCACCTCTCTAAAGTGTTCCCATTGTTAATTCACACTAATATTGGAGAAGTTGAAATCCTCTACTGTTATTACCCTACTATTTTTACATTTCTGAAATTCGCCATGTCTTTCCTTCTATTTCTCCCTGACTGTTTGTTTGGGGTCTCGTACAGCAATGTGATTGACCCATTTTTGGTTTTAATTTCCACTTATGCGGCTTCGATTGAGACTAAGTTATCATCCCTCCCTATTGTAGTAAGGAATATTGACTCCGAAATCAAAATTGTGCCACCACCACATTTCTTACATCCTGCCCCAGCTCACTTGAATATTCTGTACCCCAGAACATACAGGGAATGCTGTTGGCAGCTCAAATTTTGAGCCCTATGCATAACAGTGACTTCTGGAAGTCAATGCTGCAATCAGCATGCCAACACTGATTGCTTTGCAGGGAGTATCGGAACGACTGTGCACGTGTGCAGCTTAGAGAGAAATGTGGCTGCCAGTCCTGCCTCTCCCTCAACCACATCTCCATGATTGGGGATATGTCATCATTGCAATGTCTGACTTACTCGCAAGATTTCTTGCATTAAAATACATCCCATCCAACCCTGGCAGGTTCCCTTGTACCTTTTAAATTATCAAGTTTTGAGCAGTGATGGAACTACTCCTCTCCTATCCCTATCCAGGCAAATAATCCATCACACCACTGACTCGTGCTTTGTAGATGGTGACAGGCATTGGGGAGACAGGTGATGAGTTAATTGCTGCAGATTTCCAAGCCTCTGATCTGCTTTTGCAGCCACAATATTTAAAGGCTGGTCTATTTCCATTTGTGGTGAATGTCAACTTCCCAGGGCTTACCAATGCGGTTTCGTCGAGGGTAACGCTACTGAACATTAACTGCTAAATTTCTATTGTCGAAGACCGTCAATGCCTGACATTTCTGTGGTCCAAATGTTACTTGCCACTGATCAGCATGGATGTTGTTCAGGGCTTGTGGAATGCGTTGAACTGTGGTCAGAAAATGAGGAATAAAAGATTCCACTTTACAAAGGGGAAAATGTTCACAGTTGTTTGGAGCTGGCAAAAAACAGCCAGCTGATGCATACGAAAGTTGTCTGTTATGGATTTGGGAGCACTCAGTATAGCAATTAGCCTCTAGTCAGGTTACAGTATAACACAAACTTTGAGAGGCATGAATCAGGGAGGCAAGTAAAACCACCTGAAGTTAGCTGTATTAAAGTCTCTCCCCTTTCTTTGTAAAGATATTGACTTTGCAAAGGAAGAAAAGACCGCAGGCCCAACCAAGCAATCAGTGAAATATAGGCTAATCATTGCTTTGCAGAAAACATCAAGGCATCAAAGAATTGAGGAAGGTTGACCAACCCATTTAGATTGAGATTTTGAACTTCGGGATGTAGAACTCTCTTCTCGTAATTTGTTTTCCCTCCATTTATAATGTAATTTCTTTTGTGTGCCGGAGTGTGGGAATTTTGAAAGCATTAAAGCATAAAATGCATAAATCAAAAATCCTGTGATTTACTGTTTTTATTTAACATAGTGTTGCAATTTAAAAGAAAACACTGCTGAGGGAGTCTAGTGTGATTTGCTTTTATCATGGGTAGCATTCAGTCAGAGATAAATTGGGATTTGTGGCAGTTTCATTGAATCTTCGCCTCTCGACTTTGGGAGTTGTGGGGTTTGATTTCCAGTGCACTACCCCAGTGAGTCATGACAATGTGCATTGCTTCAGTATCTGAGGAGTCACAAATAATGAACAATCATCAGCAAACATCCCCACTTTGTGACCTTATGATAGAGGGAAGGCCAGGAGCCAAATGGTCCTCACGGAACCCAAACTGAGCATCCTTTACAAATGCCATTGGTTAGCACTGTAGGTGAACCCTGTCATCATAGGGTCATGGAGATATAGAGAATGGAAATAGACCCTTTTGGTTCAACTGTTCATGCTCACCAGATATCCTAAATTAATCCAGTCCCATTTGCCAGCATTTGGCCCATATTCCTCTAAACCCTTCCTACTCATAGTTTCATCCAAATAAATGTTGTACTAGTCTCCACCACTATCTCTGGCAGCTCATTCCATAAATACACCACCTTCTGTGTAGAAAAAGTTGTCCCTCAGGTCCCTTTTGAATCTTTCTCCTTAAACCTACGCCCTCTCGTTGGACGCCCCTAACCTGGGAAAAAGACCTTGCCTATTCACCCTATCCATGGCCCCCATGATTTTATAAGGTCACCCTGCAGCCTCCTCCGCTCCAGGGAAAAATAACCCCAGCTAATCAGCTCCCTCTACAGCTCAAATCCTCCAATCCTGGCAATATCTTGTAAATCTTTTCTGAACTCTTTCAAAGTTCACACCATCAGTAATGAGGCATTCTATTAAGATAAAGAGATTTCAGAAGAGATTTACCAGGATGTTGCT